GAATTTCTCCCATTGTTCTACAGTGGAGTTGTCTGGGTCTGGTATTTTTTTACCTTTTGTTCTATTTTACTCTTGTACTTAATTTTTGAGCAGATTGTTTGTTGTTATTCTTGTTAATAACAAGGTATGGTCACTGCCCAGTAGTGTCTTCACTAAAATATTTTTGAACTCGTATATGTTGTTTAGACTAATTTCTGGTGGTATCCAGATATAGTTGATTCTACTGTGTGCTAAGTTATTTGCCCAAGTGAAAATGGTATTCTCTTCTTTTTCCTAGAAGTTTTGAACATCTCTGTAATTCCAGTCTTCTAGGAAGTTGAAGAGACCTATTTCAGCTTTTCTATATCTTGGGGTTGTTTTGTCTGTAAGTGATAATCGATCCACTATTGGATTGACAACAGCATTGAAGTCACATATGATTATGATTTTGAAGTGGTTTTTTTGCATATCTAGAACCTTGCTTTGAAGTAGCTATTGTAACCATCTACTTTCAGCTTTCCCAGATGGCAAATACATTTGGTAGATACAGAGTTTGCTTCTTGTTGATAGAAAGTTGGCTCTTATTATATGTTCTTCTATTCTTTTAATTGATTCCAGCTTTTTTTCGATGTTTTTTTCAATAAGAAATTCTACTCTAGACTCTCTGGATTTCTCATTATTACTGCTGTAAAAAAATTTGTGTATTTGCTATAGATTAAAGGCAAAGTCCACTGTTTTTTCTGTAAGTTTAGTTTCACAGATTCCTAGGATATCTACAGTATATCGAGATCTTGTATAAGTCTAAATAGTCTTTGTTGCTCAAGACTAGTATTGATGCCTCTAACATTATGTGTTCCAATAGTAATAGTATTGTCTAGTATGGAGTTATCAATAGTATAGTTTTTATATAGTGTTTGTTCTTTGTCTAGTTTATTAATGGTATTCTTTTTAATCATATTAATGAAATCATCAAGTAGTGTGATATGTGTTGTACTAGGAAGAGTTGTATTAGTTTCTGTTATTGTTTCTATGATGGTTACTCCTTTTTTCCAGGATGAGCTTGATTCCTCTTTTGCATCAAACTCTCTCTTGATATATCTTAATTGAACTGGTGCTTTTTAGGAGTGATTATTCCACCAACTTCTTCTTACCCTATTCTGGTTACCTGTATTCTCCTCGATTATGTTATCCTATTATTTAATTGCTTGAGATTGTTCAAAATCTGACATAAGGGATCTTAGTCACTTTCACTTTCTGAATAAGGGCTTTGCGACCTATTTTGCAAACTTCTTCTGTTATGTTGATTGATTGGCTCTCTTTTACTACCAGTAGCAAAGCATCTAGGGGTGTCTGATGCAGTATATTCTTCTCTATTGTTTCTTTCATACCTCATTTTATTATTGCTTCACTACCTAATCTGTTTCCGATTTTTGAACCTATGATAGCTTGCTGAGTTAGAAGTAAATTCTGTTGATTCATTATCTGATTGTGATTCAGATGTTGATTCATTGTCTATTTCTATGTTTCTGGACTTGAAACTTGTATTTTTATCTTAATTTTTTGGATTTTGTCTTTCTGTTTTAAATGTATGTTTGATACTCCATGAGAGGCAATATCCTTGTAAAAAAATATGTTGTTTGCATGCCTTGTTTCTTTCTTCTTTTGTCTTAAAGCAAACTACTGTAAAGTTACGTTTCTTGAGTGTATAAGGATTTTTGAATGTATAGCATGCTTTAGCTTGTATACTGTTTAATGCTTGGGCTATTGGACTGGTGTAGGTTTTGTCAGTACCTAGAAGTCTTGCTGAGTTGTCATTTATTTCAATTAATATCTGATTGATTTTATTATTGCTAAGCTCAAACTTGAAGAATATAGCTCTTGACATTTCTGTACTGATTGGAGTCATTCAAATTTCTTCAGGATTTAGACTAAGATATTTGTGCTATTTAATATAAGCTTTCACCCATGGTTTTGTATTTACCTCATAAATATGAATATTTTGAACTTCTCTATATCTTTTTAGATATGCTTTTATGAGGTTCTTAGTGTTTTTCTGATCCATGTCTACCAAACATACATGTCAGATGGTACTATCTTCTTTGGTTTTGGATTCTTAAAAAATTTTTCTGTCTAGATTTCTTTCTGTCTTTTGTTTCTTGTAAGTGATCGATGGTGTTATATTTTGAATAGTAAAGTTGTCTTCCTTTTGGTTGACTTCTTCAATACATATTATGATATTTTCTTCCTCTTGTATCCAGAAAACTAACCACTCATTTCTATTGATAAATTCTTTTCGTAACAGGTTTTTTTTTTCTTGTGGAAGTTTAAGAGCATTGCTTAGATATGCTTTGGTTTTATTTTCTGTTTCTCCTAGAATATTGATTATTATTGTACCCAATTTATACTCTTCTTTTTTTTTAATAAAGTAAAGATGCATTAGTAGTACCATGTCTCTATTCCTGATGATATAAGAGCTATGTTTACTAATACATTGTTTTTTAACTATTTTTTGGAATTTTTGTGATTCCAGTACTTCGATCTCTTGTATACATATCATTGTTACTTCATTGTCTATTGTTGATTTGTTATCTTTTTGTTCAACGATCACTATTAGTTGTTGTTCTAATTTATATTGACTTTTAGAATTCTTGATAATTTCCATAAGCTTATCTTCTATGTAGGGTTGTAGAAGATCTTCTTTAATTCCATTGCCAGCTTATCATTGATAACAATGGGGATCGAATTTCTTATTAATGTAATTAAAAAATTTTTTTCAATAAAATCTTTATTTTTAGCTTTAAAATAAGCTATTACATATAAAATTAAGTTAAATATTTAATAAATTATTTAAAAAAAAAAAAGACCAAATTTTTTTGATACATACTGTAATTAATGAATAAACAATAAAAGTTTTTTTTTTTTTGTAATACTTATAGTTAAACTATATTATAGTTTATTAATTATAAGCATATTTTTATTCAAGTAACATAATATAGTTACTTTTAAAAGTTTAAGTCTATTTATTATGTTTTTATTATAAATTTAAATTTTATCAATTTTTAATTCTTAATTATACAATAATTATAATAAATAACTCTTTCCGCTGATCCTCCTTTTTCTTAAAAATTTTCTTTTTTGATAATTTTTTGAAAAAAGCAAACCTGGTCAAACACACAAGAAAAAACAACATATCCTTCAAACCAAGCTACTAAGCTCTTGCAATATACATATAACAAGCTTTTTAGAAACATCAAGAAAAGAGATATACACTGTTTTACTAATTTTCTTTTACTTCTTTTTCTTAAAATTTTTAGAAGAAAGAAAAGAGACTTGAAAACTGATTTACAGTCAGAAAAAAAGGAGCCAATATCAACTTCATACAGCTTACAGTCAGGCCAGTACAGGTTAACACCTTTTTTGACACTGTAAGAAATCCAGGAAGCAACTAAGTTTACTCAATAAATCAAGTTACTTTAGTCATTCAAAGGTCCAGAAGAATATCAAAGCTCCTCAAGGACAAGACAGTCTTAACATATATATACACATAAACAACATACCTATTCTCTATATTGTTATGTGAACATAAACACGTAAAAGTAAACAAGCAAAACAAGTATATATGTAAAAGCAATAAACAAGACACACACATACACATAAAATTTGTGATCCAAACAAATTGATTAATAGTCCACACAAACATAACAAAAACTTGTAAAATTTGGATAGGATCTTCAATATCAATAAATAAATATATCAAAACAACACAACAAGGTTTTTCCATATTACTTAATCAATTTATAAACAACAACAACCATAGAAAGGTTTATTCGTGATCTAAAAATAAACTAACTGACAAATATAAACAAGCAATTATATGACCTATTAATAAATCTAACCCAGTAGCAAATATGAATAGGGCACAATATATATTACAGATAGTCAGTAAAAGAAGAAGAATTGATTGTGAAGTATTTAAGGATTTTTTTATTTTTTTAAGTAAGAGATTATAGAGATTTTGATAATTAAAAAAACTTATTTTCTTTCTTTTCTAATTGTTTTTGTTATCTTAAAATTTTTACTTTTATGATTTTCTAAAGAATTTTGTTTACTTTAGTTTGATTCTAAATTTTAAATAATACAAATTCTTATTAAAGATAATTTATTGAAATGAAACATATTAGTTTTTGAAATATAAACAAGTTTTTATTAATTATACTTATGTATTAAGATAAATTTGTTAATTATTAAAAAGAATATTTTAAAAATATTTATTTCTTAAAAGTTTAAGTCCCTTAAAAAAGATATCTATAATATCAAAAGATCAAGAAATAAGTAATATAAATTGCAAATTTTCATATTTAATTTAAGTTTTTCAAGTAATAATAAAACTTTAATATATAAAAATTAAGATCTAAAATATTTTTCATAAAATATTTCAATTTGATATTTGCTAAAATAAAGAATCAATTAGATAAGTTTGCTTGATATTATAGATAGTAATAAAAAATTTTTCTTCTGAAATTTAAGTGAAACAAGAGAAGAATAACTTTTTTTTTAATTTAATAATTCCTTGATTTTTGGATCAATCAATAGTAACAAATTGTTAGCAATAATTCAATCATATTAATATTGTTTTCCAAATCTAATTTAGAGTACTTACATACTATATATTGTAATAATAAGTTAATTACTTTGTGAAAATCTATAAATTATTGTAAAATTTTTTTTCAATTTCTCAATAAAAAGACAATTAATTTGTATATAAAATTTAAATAAAAATAATTTTAAAGTATACATCAAAATTTCAAAAAATATATTAAAATATATTAAAGCTTAATATGTAAATATTGTTTTATTATTATGCAAATCTATAAATGGTGATACAATTCTACTTTAAATTCCGATGTGAAACCTCTTAGCTTGCTACAAGTTCATTCGAGACAAACGAAAATTTAATTTATTTTTTTTTCATCTGAAATCACATCACTTCTTATTTGCGTGTAAAGTTCATACATAAGATCATGGCCGACGATGATGATTTCGCCCCAAGTCAAACCACAGGTTACAAGGTCGGAGAAAAGAAATCCATCGATGAATATAAAATGTTAGATGCGAACGATGAATCTTTGAACAAGTGGAAGGAAAGCCTTGGTCTAAACAAAGTGTCAGGTAAGGGCATATGCTTTGACTTGGAGATTGCACCCGTCAAGTGCTTAAGCTTACACATATACATATTGAATTTAGGCGCTACCTCCAATGGTCCTCGGGTAACTTATCTAAGTAAAATTTATGTAGCCAATCACTAAGACTCACACCAAATTTAACAATTAGGTGGTCATCTTGCAACTTGCACTTGAAGTTAGCGGAAGGGATGATGTCGTACTGGATTTGTCTTCTCCAGGTACCGAAAAAAAAAGATTTGATGTTGCTAAGAAACGTTTGACATTAATTATTTGTGCACTCGGTTTTTAAAGGGGCACTCGAACACGTCAAGAATACACCCTTTGTCATTAAAGAAGGTGTTGAATACCGCATGAAAGTTAAATTCAGGTAGATAGTAAAAATAGATGGTTATCGGTTCGAACTGTTTGGATAATTGATTTCTTATTAAACAAAAATTTATTACTTAGGATTCAAGATGATGTTGTGTCAGGTCTCAAATATTTGCAGGTCGTCAAAAGGAAGGGTATTAGAGGTAAGGGATATCAACTAATCATTACACCTAGCGAATCCTTAACCCCGTTTTATATCATATCATTAATCTATTCGACTTCATAGTTGACAAAACCGAGGAGATGATCGGTAGTTATGGTCCCAGCGAGACTCCTTATGAGAAGAAAGTAGGCCTTCTCTTTTTTTTTCTTCTTTTGTAAATTAAATATTGTTATGTTTATGCTTCATGACTGGTTTATAATACACTAGTTTCTGCCTGAGGAAGCCCCAAGTGGTCTCCTCGCTCGTGGTCATTACGAGGCGAAGGTTGGTGGTTACTATTTTTGTGCGGACTCGATAAATTATCTAAAATGAATATGTATATATTTATTTCTTTTCCTTATCCTTTCAGAGTAAATTTATCGATGATGACGGTAAATCTCACATCGAATGGTCTTGGGTAAGAATCAATTTCCCATTTATTTAAAAATCAAACTAAAGTGTCAACCTGCTAATAATAAAATTTCGTTATTCTATAGTGTTTTGACATCAAAAAGGATTGGGATTGAATGGGCATCGTGTGCTATAATATAATATTTAAATACCTTGGATGAACCTTTTTGAATAAACAAATGATCTATCATCACAATTGCCGAACCAATTATCTGAGGATGTACGTTTCATTCTATAATGACAGTGGCTCCAAAACCTTCTAAAGTCTTTTTAATCTTTTCGGCTTCTTCTTTGCCAATACGTTCTTTGACAACCTTTGGTGCACTTTCAACAAATTTCTTGGCCTGTAACAATGACGATGACGATATTCATTATCTTGCGAAATAATGTGTTCATGATGTTCTTGCTCTGTACCTCTACGAGATTCATTCCCGGCAAGATGTTTTTAATCTCCCTAATAATCTTTGTCTTTGCATCAGCTCCATATTTTTCCAATTTCACTGTAAATTCGGTTTTTTCTGCAGCCTTCGCTTCCTATTCGATACAAAGTTAGTAAATCTTGAATAAGCATACAATATTTTTGAAAATATCGGATAATTAAATTTACTTCAGCTGCATTGGATGCCTGTTCTGCAGCTGTGGCTGTGGTTGTAGCAGCAACGTTCACGACGGGTAAAGCTACATCTTGGATGTTTAGGCGGGTCTAATATATATATAAAGGTTATAAAGGTTGACGACGACAGAACGTAAACACACGGATAATTGAATGTTACCTTCAGTTCTTGGACAAGTTCTGCTGTTTCAATCAAGGTCAAAGAAGAAATTTGATCCACGATGCTGGATACTCGCGCGTTAACTTTGCTAACGGCGTTCTTTTTTGAGTGTGGTTGTGAAAGTGGAGTCTCCCCGTTAGAAGCTTCAGAGGCATAAAACGCGAACTGCTGACGAAGCTTGTATCCTTGTGTCAAGTACACGGGAGCGACCCTGAAAGAAGAGAAAAATACAGAGTAAGTTCATTTCGGCAAGATAAAACAGAACTACTCCGAATTTTCAACCTAAAAGAGGGCCCGACGCCAGCAAAAGTTCGCGATCTAGCCACTGTAGAACTAACGCAACGTGACCACATTATTTAAAAGTGCGAGAGGTGATAAGTATTGGTGCGGCGGTGCTGAGAAATGAGGATAATCAAAAAATTTAATCACTGTTCCGAAAGATTTACTGTACATCAATATAAATCTATCGATGTGTGACTTATATTTATGCACGGGTCCTACACATACACTCTTTCATATGTATTAAATATGAAACCCACACCTTTTCAGCCATTCTGACACTAATGGATTTCATAACATCTCTCGGAATACTCGCGATCCTCGGGATTGGTGGCGTAAGTCACTCGGATTCTAACGTTTCTCCCATGAGATTCAATTAAATATATAGGTTTTTTAATTAATTATTAGGTCTTTTCGTTCTTGATAGCGCTTGCACCAAAACCTCGAAAACGGACAAAGTCCGAAAGATATTATCTGTCACCCAAGTTGGAAAAACCACAGATCCTACCTAGCATATTCGATGAGCCAAATTTATACTTGACGGTTGTGATTCCTGCGTATAATGAGACGAAGAGGTTGCCCGGTATGCTGAGCGAAACGGTCGGCTATTTAGAAAGTCGAAGACTTGAAGACGTGAATTTTCAATATGAAATCATAGTGGTAGATGACGGAAGTACGGATAATACATCAATGACTGCCTTGGAATTCGGTCAAAAAAACAAAAACATAGACTTGAAAATTTTAAAGTTGGAAAAGAACAGGAAAAAAGGCGGAGCCATAACACAGGTAAGTTAGTTAAGAAGGTTCCCAAATTTCTTAAAATTGGTGAATTAACTCTCGCATGAAATTATTTGACAGGGTGTCTTGTCATCTAGTGGGAAGTATATCCTTTTTGCGGATGCGGATGGAGCTACGAAATTTTCCGACTTTGAGGCGTTGGAAGGGAAATTAAACAAAATCACCAACAAAGACGGGTTTGGAGTGGCCGTTGGATCACGAGCCCATCTAGTGAAAACCGATGCAGTTGTAAAGGTAATTTCTATTTCTTGAATGTGCTCATTACGTATGATACCAATACGCTAAAATTCATTTTATGAAAATTTTAGAGATCTTTTATCCGCAATTTTCTGATGCATTCTTTTCACAAAGTGCTATACGTGCTAGGAATTCGCGAGATAGCGGATACACAATGCGGTTTTAAACTTTTCACGCGTAAATCTGCTCTGCACATCTTCGATAATATACACGTGGAAGGTTGGATTTTTGATGTCGAAGTTCTTATTATTGCACAGTTTTTAAAGATGCCAATAGTTGAGATGCCAGTCAACTGGCACGAAATAGAAGGATCTAAAGTATCATTGGTAAAAGATTCCATCCAGATGGCTGTTGATTTACTGATCATTCGATTGAACTATCTCCTTGGCTTTTGGAAAATTCATGATCCCCTGTCAAGACCAAAACGTGAATGATTTAATTAACCAATTATTTTAGACTCGTGATTACATATACTACGTATTATATACAGTATATATATATGTGTGTGTATATATATATATTTCGAACAAATTAAAAGAAAAAAAGAAATAAAATAAAATAAATTCTTATTAGACATTGCGAACCTTCTAATTAGAATCAATTTACTTAAGGAAACAAATCATCGCCCTTTCTTTCCTTTCTTTTTCGAGGATGGTTGGGGGTTTGATGTTCCGGATGAAGACGCTCCGACCTTCAAATCGGGGATTACTTCGGTGATTTGTTCCAACGCCTGCGTCAGTTGTTGCACTGCTGTTCTGGATGAGGTGGCGGCTACACGATGAAAATTCGTGATTTAATGATTAAATTTTAAATAACTCTTTAGAATTTCAAGTAACCTATCTATCTACCTTCACTTTCGTTTGGCTCCTTTCGATTCTGCATTTTTAACATCATCGATCGATTCAACCGTTCAAATTTTTTCAAATCTGTTGCTTGATCCGTTCTGTATTTGAGAACTAGGGAATCATCAGTGACCTTCATAACGAGTTGTCCTTGTGAATGGTGCCAGCTTGTTACATATCGTGTCTTTTGTCGAGCCAACGACCGTTAATAGGCAAAAAATTTAAAATGTAACAATGTTTTTTGGTTCTCCGAGAAATGAGTGTCTACCTTTTTCGGCGAATTCAGATAAAGTCGCTTGACAGCCTCTTGATATTCGTTCCAGTCACTGATATAAACCATTGAGGCAAGTATGGAAAGGGAACAAAAGTTCTACCTTTTTTTTTTTAAGGAAAAACGTGTAACCTGATTTACCATGATTGGGTAGGCTAATTTAGCAAATAATATCGTGCACAAAAGATATACGAAATTGTAAGTTCAGTTAACAATAATTAGAACTGGGCAAATTGAATATTTTTGCTAACAACAAACGAATGAATTCATAGCGCGAAATGTCAAAGATTCTTTGTAAGTTGGTAGCAGCATCAAAGGTCCGGTGGTAGACGACGAAGGTTCACACAAAGCTAATTGATCTTTAGCATAGGACTCGACGAAAGAAATGAAAAAATATATTCATCTTCATTTTATATTATTGAACCTATTTGAAACTCTGATTTATTTTTCTGCTTTTACTCTTCTGGAAACACTAGTTTTTCAGAATTTCAATTTTATCACGCTTGCTTAAAAATTCTTTGATATATTTTCGTACGCTTTCGGTCACCTCCTCAGCCGTGGTATTCTTTCCGTAGCAATCAATAAATTCACCATTCGGATCCATGAGATAAAAGAAGATAGAATGATCAACCAAATACTCGTCACCCGGTTTCACCTCGGGTGGTCGGCTAAAGTAAACTCTGTACGCTTTCGCGACTTTAGCCACCTGTTCATATGTTCCGGTGAGACCGACCATATCTTTATGAAAATCTTTTCAAAAATGTTGAGTTAGGATTTTTCTGATTTGTGCCTTTGATCGACATGATAACTTCACAATTACCTTTAAGGTATTCTCGAACCACCTCGTGCGTATCTCGATGCGGATCACATGATATGAAAATTGGTGTTATGAGATTTCCAAATTTCGAATCGGCATCTGATTTTTTTCAGAGATCGAAATTGAGCGTGGATTTGATTTCGTAGGAATAAAAAAAAAAAAACAACTCAATCCACCAAAAACCTACTGATATTTTCTGTAACTTTGGACATCTTGTCCAGTTCCTCGGGACAAATGTCGGGACAATGAGTGAAGCCAAAGTAGACCAAAAGAAATCTGCCCAAAAAATCTTTGTCCGTCACCATCCGACCATCTTGATTGATCAATTCAAATGGTCCACCAACTTGTGGTTTACCAATTGACTTGCTTGCCGCTTCCTTCTTACCTGATGACGACGATTTAATGTCTCAACACGAAAATAGTACGATATATATTTCAAAATGAACAGATCGCTTACGTTTTTCAATTAATTTTTGTTTTTCATAGTTGAAATAAAAATATAGTCCTGCTCCCGTTACAATAAAGGCGGCAAAGCTTTTCCACGAAAATGGCTTTTAGCAAAATGCGAAACATTAATAAAAGAAAAGCGACCAGTGTGAGAGACCGAAAAACATTTTTAAATTTCTTACCCCAGCCAGGTTGCGATTTCTCATAAATTCTTCGGGGGCCGTCTTTTTTGACGTTTGTGTAGAAAACCTGGGAGCAAAAAATCGGGTTGGTCTTCTCAGAAGACATGAGTGATCCGGTTTGCTGGTGCCTCTTCCAGTCATGAAAGGCAATTTGGATTGACCGTTCTAAATTTCGTATTAGTTAATAACATCCTTTACCTGGGAGGGAATCGAGTACACTTACAACTTTTGAGACATTTGTTGGTAATCTATTGGCATTGTTAATCGCGAAATTATGTGTTCTTTTAGCTTAATAAATAATACACGAAATTTTCAGGGAAAAGTTAGATTATATTTTAATCAATCGGTCAAGACATTCTACGATAATTTTTTACCGATCGAGGTTGACCACATTGTATGTTGATGATATAGAAGAAGAAATTTGTTGATAATCTCGGAAATAATAACGGTAAAAATCGGTGATAATGTTCCTTCTTTTATAGTGAGCGTGCTAATTGTGACACATGGCCGAGCCGGGAAATATTATAAGATAGGTGTGATATGATGTTTCAAGTTTCAGCGTAAAATAATCCGGTGTTTCTTGCAATATTAATTCAGTTTATTATTAGAAGGTATTACTTTCTTTTTGTGCTAGTGTTCGTGTTATGAAGAACAACGAGGGATATAACACATTACTCCCATTGTAACAAAAAAGTTTAAATTAAAATCTCGATCAGCTTTTCTTTTCTTCCTCTGGAATTTTTGATTCAGAACGTTCTCTAATATTGTCGCCACAGATGAATTTGATGGCGAGTCACATTACTTTGTTCGAGGCCAGCACCAGAAAGCCAGCTGGAAACAAGCGAAAAATTTTTGGAATATAAATTATTGTGAGCTAAAACCTCAAAATTCTGTCAGGCTAAAGCCCCGGTGATGCTGAAGAAATCTTTGATAAATCTTTCTCGGGATTAGCTTCAGCATAAGACTTCATACGAGCCTCAAGTTCGGGGCGAAAATGACGTATCAATCCTTGAACAGGCCATGCGGCTGCGTCACCAAGGGCTATATAAAATGCGAATAATTAGAGGAATAGACCTATAGAGGGAGAAGTTGATATAATGAGTGAATATCGTCGTTGTTCAAAGACGTACCACAGATAGTATGACCCTCAATCTGTTTGGTCAACTCCTCGGCCATATCAATCTCTCTCGGAACAGCGTAACCTTTCTCGAAGCGCGACATCATGTTCATGAGCCACTTCGTCCCTTCCCTGCATGGTGTACACTGACCACAACTCTCATGTTTGTAGAAAGCTGACAATCGAGAAATCGCCTGAACTATATCCGTAGACTTATCCATAACGATAACCGCCGCTGTGCCTAATCCAGAATGAACATCACGAAGGGCATCGAAATCCATCCTGTAACGGAATGGTAAAGATATTCGATAATTTGGCCCGAAGAACAATTTTATTCATTAGGATTAATAATAGAATATAACTTACAAGACATCATCGCATATGTGTTTTGGTATGACGGGAACAGAAGAGCCACCAGGTATGATGCCTAGAAGATTGTCCCATCCCCCTCGTACACCCCCGCAGTGACGTTCAATAAGTTCCTTCAGAGGGATGCTCATTTCCTCTATTAAAATTGGCTTGTAATCAACGTCCTGTAAAAAATCGTCTTGTTTGACGCAAATGTTAAAAAAAAGTCTCGCATACCTTCAACCGTGCACGGATTATTCACGTGACCAGATATGCAGTAGAGTTTGGTGCCGCTATTCTTTTCTCGGCCAAAACTCAAAAACCATGAGCCGCCACTTGAGGAATAAAATTCACACGATAAATAATGCTATCCAAAATCCTAAAGAAAAGATGAGCACAACGTTACCGTCTGCAAATGGTAGGCGCCACGGCTACAGTCTCCACATTGGCAACCGTCGTTGGACAACCAAATAAACCGATATCGGCTGGGAACGGAGGCTTTAATCGAGGTTTTCCTTGTTTGCCCTCAAGTGATTCGATCAAGGCAGTTTCTTCACCGCAGATATAAGCACCGGCACCTCGGTGAATGTACACGTCGAAATCGTAACCGGAACCACAGGCATTCTTGCCAATGAGTCCGGCTAAAATTTTATCACGATCAGCAATAAAGTCGGGTACACGTCAAAACTCTAAAAAGTTTAAACCAACCGGCATACGCTTCATTAATGGCTTCCTGTAAATTTGATGCTTCGTTATAGAATTCGCCTCTGATATATATGTAAGCTAGAGAGATAAGACAATGGAGTGTGAGAAAAAAAAAAAAAAATTAATAAAAAAGTAAGCGCAGCAACTGAACCTTTTGATATCATGACTTACCAGCCGAAGCATTCATCGCTCTACCGGCCACCAAACATCCCTCAACAAGTTTATGCGGATCGCCACGCATGATCTCACGATCTTTGCATGTTCCTGGTTCACCTTCATCAGCATTAACAACCAAATACTTAGGACTATCACACCAATGAAATCTATCAATAATGGTATTGGAAGATGTGTTGAAAGACTTGGCAAATTGCTTACCGTCCATCTGGCGGCTTATTCATGAAACTCCACTTCAAACCTGTTGGGAATCCGGCTCCCCCGCGACCCCTGAGGCCAGATTCTTTGATTTCTTTAAGGATCCATTCATGTCCCTTCAAAAGTATCTCTTTAGTTTTATACCAATCACCCCTCTGTTTTGCGCCTTTCAATCTAAAGTCATGGCGCAAGTATAAATTTGTAAATATTCGATCTTCGTCCTTGAGGTTACCATATGTGCGACCAGTTGAAGTGGCATTTTTAACTGTGGCAAAATTTGCAACACCTTTTGGTATTGTAGGAAGGGCTA